TGAATTTGTTTATCATTTTTGTCAATGGATCTAACTAACTTGAAAGACGTGGGAGTTCTCAAATACATCACAGCCGTATTCTGCCAAATCTCCACCTTTGTCTTGTCCTGCTATGTGAGCAATCCAATGGCAATTAGTGACACTGTGGCAGCAGATAGTAGCCAGCATGGATTAATCAACAAAGACATTTCTTTGAAACAAACTCTTTTCCGTAATCAAATTGGCTTTTCCCATATCATACCTACCGCTTCCACTGCCATACAAAGGGCGCTGAAGACTGAGAAAGAAGTCAGCAGCAGCAGCAGCATCAACCATGGAGAATCTGAACCTGCGAGAGTCTCACATGAAGCTGAAGAAAGGCCGCCGGGTCTTGCTCTTTCCATTGCCATTCCAGGGCCACATCAATCCCATGCTTCAACTTGCCAACATCCTCTACTCCAGAGGCTTCTCCATTACCGTAATACACACCGACTTCAACTCTCCCAATTCAACCAACTACCCTGACTTCACCTTCCACTCCATCCGCCTTGGCTTATCCGAGGAGCAAGCCAATAAGCTTGCCTGGCAGATAGGAGATGTCATAGCTCTTCTCACCTCCACCAACATCACTTGCGCCGCGCCATTCTGTGAAGCCTTGGTCAAGTTGATAACTGAAAGCTCGGAGGAGGAAGAGCCTGTTGCTTGCCTTATTACTGATGCTGATTGGCACTTCACTCAGGCGGTTGCTGACAGCCACCATCTCCCCAGGATTGTGCTTAGAACAACCAATGTCTGCTCTTTCCTTGTTTACGAACCCCTTCGGTTGTTCCACCAGAAAGGTTACTTCCCTGTTGAAGGTAACAAGCTACGACTTCTACCCAATTTCTGAATTTGAGTACAAATTTCAGTCAATCATCCAAAGTTGCAAATGAATTCAATTGCTTTTCTGGGTTGTTTGCTTTATAGACTCCAAGGCAGAAGAAGAAATCCCCGAGTTCCCACCTCTGAAAGCTAAGGATCTCCCACAAGTGAAGACGCAGAACCAAGAAGACCTGTTTTACCTGGTAGATAGCATGATGAGTTCAATCAAAGCCTCTTCAGGGCTCATCTGGAACACCTGCCGAGACCTGGAACATTCCGACCTAATGAAGAGCTCCGAGCTATTCAAAGTTCCCAACTTTTCTCTGGGGCCTTTCTACAAACACTTCCCGTGCACCTCAAAAAGCAGCCTGCTTGCGCAGGACCCAACCTCCATCTCCTGGCTGAACAATCAAGCACCCAAATCAGTACTCTACGTCAGCTTCGGCAGCGTCGCGACCATAACCGAGGCCGAGTTGCTCGAGATCGCTTGGGGACTCGCCAACAGCCAGCAACCATTCCTGTGGGTGGTGCGACCAAACTCAGTCGAGAATTCAGAGTGGATCGAGGTTTTACCAGATGGGTTTCATCAGGCGGTGGCCGGTAAAGGCCATATCGTCAGATGGGCTCCGCAGGAAGAGGTTCTGGCGCACCCGTCGACGGGAGGATTCTGGACTCACTGCGGATGGAACTCGACCCTAGAGAGCATGTCTCAGGGCGTCCCCATGATTTGTGCGCCGAGCTTTGGTGACCAATTGGTGAATGCGAGGTACATCAGCGATGTTTGGAGGATAGGGATTCATTTGGAGTGGAAGATGGAGAGAGGGGAAATTGAGAAGGTTGTAAAGGCATTAATGGTGGAGGAAGAGGGTCGGGAAATTAGGGAAAGGGCTGGGGCTCTGAAGGAGAAGATGGAACTCTGCCTGAAACCAGGGGGTTCGTCGTATGAAGATGTTCAAAGCTTGGTTGATCACATTTTGTCATTGTGAATCGTTGATTCATCGAATCTTGTTCAGTTTTGGGCTCCGGAAAATAAATGGCTGTAATTGGCTACTGTATGAGTGGAGTTGAGAATCTTTACAGTGGACTTATCTGCAATTTAAAGCCTATTTGCAGGTTGCTCTTCTAGCTGGTGCTGCAGCTCGAATAAGCTCACCAGAAATTTCTGTTCCTTTAAGGCAGGACTGTTAATGATTTGAGATTTTGAGTCGAGCTGAATTTTGTCGTTTCGGTTCGTTAAAATATTCTAACTTAGGGTTTGGTATGAATTCGAAACGAGTTTTACTTGACAAGTTCGAGTTTGACTCGTTTACAAAAAATAGAAGTTCAATTTTTGGCTCTCGAAATGAATTTAACAAGCAGAAATCGAGTTTAACATATTAAATGTTTGTACTTCAACCTCGAGCTCGAACTCGGCTCAAAATCACATTCTAATGTCTTTCGAGCTTGTTCGCGAGGTTAACGACCTGAATATGACAATGTCAAGCCAGACTAGTTAATTGACGAGCTTGATCGTGAGTCGATTCAATCATAAATAAATCGAATGTTTAACAAACTTTTCTCGAATCGAACGTCGAGTTGTTCATGTGCCGCTTGGTTCATTAACAACCAACTTTTAGGATATTTGTGATTGTTGATTTTGATTGTCACATGTTTGCATGGTGGAATTCGGAAAAAGGGTGATTTTTTTAGATATGTGTATTGGGAAGGAAATATAAATGACCCATGTGTTGGCACATCATGGTCATGCTACAATTTGAGGACCAATTTGTTAGTTAGCAAAAATGTAGAGGACCAATTTGTTAGCGAGTTCAAACATAAGTGATGATTAAGCTATTCACCTTACTCTGTACTAATGTCGGGTTTTGGATCACGGCGGCGAGACTTTTCAGTTTTCACCTTCACCACAAAAAAGAGAGTACAGATCAGGAAGATCTTTGCACGCGGGACGCGGCTATCCTATCAAAGCAGCCAAAAAGGAAAGCAAAAGGAAAAACAACAGAACTCGGGGCCGGGATTTTATGAAGATTCCATTGGTTCGCCGTGCCTCCCAGACTTCAATCGCCGGCGGTTTTCCGCTTCCACAACACCTGCCGCCGATCTTCACAAAAGGCGGGGCCTTCTTATAACGGTATTAAGTGCTTGGATATACTTGTTTACACCGACGCTTTCCTTTTCTATCTTTCGGTTTTATGGCTGTGTATCCACTTCGGCTCTTTCTATACTGAAGAGATTTATTCTTGCTGATTTGATTTTGCACTTTCTAATGTTTAGATTCCGTATTCTCAACAAATCATTAGTGGGATTAATGGGTTTCGAGCATCTAATCCTAGGAATTTGATTATGCTGACGAAAGGGTGTTCCAATTTTCAATCTGTTGCAGGCTTGTTGAGCTAGTTACACGACGAAGGAAGGAACAAGAAGCAGCAGAAGAGAATCATGAATGCCCTTAGAGAATCACACATCCAGCAAAAGAAGATGCGCCGGCTACTGCTCTTCCCTACTCCACTACAAGGCCATATCAACCCCATGATTCAGCTAGCTCACATCCTCTATTCCAAGGGTTTCTCCATCACCGTACTCCACAACAATTTCAACTCACCAGATCCTTCCAAGTACCCATTTTTCACATTCCATCTGATCCCTGAAGGGTTATCCGAAAAGGAATCGTCTTCCATGGATGCTACCTCTCTCATTGCACTTCTCAACGAGAAGTTGGCCGAGACATTGCAAGAGCACTTGTCAATTTTACTTTCTGAGAACACAGATGAGCCCGTTGCTTCATTGATTGTGGATGCTAGTTGGCATTTCACTCGGGGGATTGCAGATGCTGCTAAGCTCCCTAGGTTTGTGTTACGCACGAGTAATGCTTGTTCCTTCCTTGTTTACAATTCGTTCCCCCTCCTCCTGCAGAAAGGTTACATGCCTGTCAAAGGTATGTGCAGTAGATGGATTTTAAAAAGGTTCAGTTTTTCATTTGGCTGTTAAACTTTTGGGTATGGTGCTGATGGGTTTTGTGATGGCTTGTTGCTATAGATTCTCGGTTAGAAGAGCTTGTCCCGGAGCTCCCGCCGTTGAAGGTGAAGGACTTACCAGAGATCAAGATGAAAAGGCCGGAGGATTTCTTCTATCTGGTTGCTGGCATGATTAGGACGGTCAATGCTTCCTCGGGTCTCATCTGGAACTCATCTGAAGACTTGGAACAAGACGCCCTGATCAAGTGTCGCCAAGTGTTTAATGTCCCTATCTTCAACATAGGCCCCTTTCACAACTACTTCCCACCTAGCAGCTCACCAGCAGAATCTCAGGACTCCATTTCCTGGCTAGACACACAAGCTCCAAACTCGGTAATCTATGTGAGCTTCGGCACCATGGCAGTTCTGACTCAAACCGAGTTCCTGGAGATTGCTTATGGCCTGGCGAATAGCCAGCAGCCTTTTCTGTGGGTGGTTCGACCTGGATCAGTGCAGGGATCAGAATGGTTGGAACTCTTGCCCGATGAGTTTCTCGAGAAGGTACGTGGAAGGGGAGAAATTGTGAAATGGGCGCCACAGCAGGCTGTGCTTGCTCACCCCGCGGTTGGTGGGTTTTGGACGCACTGTGGATGGAATTCGACGTTTGAGAGCATTTGTGAAGGGGTTCCAATGATCTGCCACCCCTCGTTTGGTGACCAGAAGGTGAACGCAAGGTATGTAAGTGATGTTTGGAGAGTTGGGATTCACTTGGAGGATAAGAGGGATAGAGCTGCGATAGAGAAAGCAATCAGAACGCTAATGGTAGAGGATGAAGGGGTTGAAATAAGACGGAAAAGCCTCGCTTGGAAGGAGAAGATTGATGGTTCTCTTAAGCAAGGCGGATCGTCGTACCAATGTCTGGACAGCCTGATCAGCAGCATATTGTCGTGCTAGGATAATGCCATCTCCACTCATAGACTAGTTAGTAATTGTTGTATGTTTTTGAGTTTCCTCACCCTGTAACTTAGCTCGGGCTTATGAACTGAAGCTTAATACTTGGGATAAATCATGGGTAAACCAACCATAGCAACTTAGATAGCTGTATACTTTTAGTGACCAGAACAGATTACTGCAAGACTGCAAGAGGCAATGTAGCTGAATTTTAAACTGCTTTTCTCGTTTACACCGAAACATAATGTTGCTTCTACATTAATTCCCAATTTCCCCCAACCCCTGTACTTGAGAACTACTCATCAGCTTGATATCTTCAATCAGAAGCTCCAAATTCCTGTACGACGATCCACCTTCCTCGACACTTTCCTTCGCCATTCTCGCCATCTCCACAGCCTTCCTCCGAAACTCTTCCTTCCTCTCCACCATCAGCTCGTTCACCATCCTCGCCACGACCCTTCTGTCACAGACATCCTTCATATCCAACCCCAACTTCAGAACCTCACTCACAAACCTACTGTTCACCTGCTGGTCCGCGAAAAACGGCCAGCAGATCATCGGAACCCCAGCCACAATGCTCTCCAGCGTGGAGTTCCACCCGCTGTGCGTCAAGAACCCGCCAACCGCCTCGTGACCCAGAACCGCCTCCTGAGGCGCCCAACCCACCAGCACCTTCAAATTCCCCTTCTCAACCCCTTTGTCGAGCTCTTCAGGCATCTTCTCATCACCCATTTCCTCGGAAGACACCGAACCGGGCCTGATGACCCACAAAAAACCGGTTCTTGCTACCGGTCAGGCCTTCCCAGAACTCGATCACCTGATCTCTTCTCATCATCGTGATGCTTCCGAAATTGACGTATAGCACGGAGCCACGTGGCTGGGTATCCAGCCACATCAAGCAGCTCGCTTCTTCCTTCCACAGACTGCTGGACGATGAGGCCGTCCCGTGTAGAAATATCTAGAGGGGCAAAGGCTTAATCGAAAACCCGCAGAAAACAACGAGCTGCAGGGTTCCTTCCATTTATACTCAGTGTTCAAGATTTACTGTTTGCCAACGGTAAAATAAACGGAATTATAAATTCACCCTGACACGTGGTGAGTAATAAAACGGGAAGGATAAAACAGACTCCACTATCTCTAAAACGACGACGCGTTCAGGCGAAGGCTCGAAACGTTTCCCATACAACGAATCGTCTTCAAGCCTGAACGCGTTTCACTGTCTTCTTCAAGCTGAAGCTCGATGTGTCCATTCCAGCTCTGCATCAGCTGCCTTGCCTTCATGGACCTCTGCTCCATCTTCCTTATCATCTTGACAGCCTCCCTCAAGCTGGAGTGTGCTAACTCCAAGCTTGTCTAGTAATTCTCGAATCCTGTATCTGCTCAAAGCTTTAGTAAATAGGTCTGCAACTTGATCAACAGTACGAACATAGAACAACTTGATTAACCCAGATTTCACTCTTTCACGCGTCACATGGATATCAATCTCAATGTGTTTCGTTCTTTCGTGAAACACTGGATTATCAGCTATGTGTATCGCTGATCTGTTATCACAAAACACAGCAATTGGCAATTGAACCTTCACACTCAACTCTGCAAGCAATCCTTTCATCCACTGTAATTCACACACCAATTGAGCTAAAGCTCTGTATTCAGCCTCTGAGGATGATCGTGAAACAGTGGTATGTTTCTTAGCTTTCCAAGTAACCAGTGAACTCCCAAGGAAAGTGCAATAACCACTAACTGATCTCCTTGAGTCTGGACAGCTAGCCCAATCTGAGTCGCTATAACCTGACAACCTCGGAGTGGAATCAGATTTGAAACAAAGTCCTTGATTTGGTGACCCCTTTATGTACCTAAGAACTCTGAAAGCTGCTTGCAAGTGATCTGAATAAGGTTCTTTCTGAAATTGACTTAATTGCTGCATAGGAAAAGTCAGATCAGGTCTAGTTGTGGTTAAATAATGCAACCTTCCAACCAACCTTCTGTATTGCTCAGGGTCTTCAAGTGGAACTCCCTGTTTTGCTTTCAAAGAGACTTTTGGATCCAGTGGAGAAACACATGGCTTAGCATCTTCATATCCAGTGTCCTTCAGAAGTTCCAGGCAATACTTCCTTTGGTTTACTGTGATCCCATTACTGTCTCTAGCAATCTCAAGACCTAGGAAATACTTCAGCTTCCCTAGATCCTTTATCTTGAAGCTCCTGCTAAGATACTTCTTTACCTCTTCCACATCATCTCTGCTGTCTCCTCCCACTATTATATCATCAACATACACCAGCAATACCACAAAACGTCCTTGAACCCATTTTGTGAACATGGAGTAGTCTGAAGCAGACTGAGAAAAACCATGTTGCAGCACTGATGAAGTTAACTTTGCAAACCACTGTCTGCTAGCCTGTTTGAGTCCATACAAGGACTTCCTTAACCTGCATACAAGCTTCTCAGGACCTTTAGCCCTTGGATCACCTGGTGGCAACACCATATAAACTTCTTCTTCTAGATCTCCATGCAAAAATGCATTGGAGACATCCATTTGATCCAATACCCAACCTTTGTTAGCAGCAACAGCAAGTAAAGCCTTTACAGTATTAATTTTAGCCACAGGTGAGTAGGTATCCAGAAAGTCTATACCATATACCTGTGTAAAGCCTTTTGCCACCAATCTTGCCTTAAATCTCTCAATGCTGCCATCTGGTCTCCTTTTAATTTTGAATACCCACTTGTTCCCTATTGCTCTTTTCCCTTCAGGTAAGACAACAACATCCCAGGTGTGGTTCTCTTCCAGAGCTTGAGTTTCCTCATTCATTGCTCTATTCCAGTGTTCACTAGCTGCTGCTTCTTGGTAAGTGCGTGGTTCAACTTCATTCATGACATTCAAAATATAACTCCTGTCAGCTGGAGATAACTGGTCAAGTTCCAAGTAGTCTTCCATAGGATATTTGCTGACACTACCAACCTGATAATCATTAAACTTGACAGGCATTTTGCCTCGATTAACACGAATAGGTCTGCCTTCAAATTCCTCTTGAACTTCTAGCTCAGGACCATCATCAGTATTATCATCAAAATCCTCCAGATGAACAGGTTTATCAACAGCAGGAATGGGTGAATGTGACTGGTGAGAACTGGATGGGAAAGGGGAAGGTGTAGGTGTATGAGAACTAGAACCAGAAGGTATGGGAGAAGGTATATGGATTGAGGGAGAAGTGGTACTGGAGGTACTGGCCCCCTCTGATCCCTCAATGTTAGAAGTATGAGGTGGGGAAAATGGTATGCTGGATGGTGCAAATGAAGATGGGGGAGTGAGGACAGGAGTAGAGTGAGAGGAAGTAGGAGGAGGAGAAGAAGTAGAAGAATGAAATGGAAGAATAGTTTCATGAAAAATAACATTTCGAGAAATGAAAACCTTTTGTTCAGTAAGGTGAAATAGTGTATAACCCTTGACACCAGTAGGAAAGCCAAGGAAAACACATTGGGAAGCTCGAGGTTGGAACTTTGTTCTACCATGAACTAAGGTAGAAGCATAACAAAGACAGCCAAAAACCTTCAAATTGGAAAGATCAGGAGGCTTGTTAAACAACAACTGATATGGAGACAGGTTTTTAAGAACAGGTGTGGGTAGCCTATTGATTAAGTAAACTGAATGCAGTATACAGGCACTCCAAAACTTCAATGGCACACCAGATTGAAACCTCAGAGCACGAGCCACATTTAAAATGTGTTGATGCTTACGCTCTACACGACCATTTTGTTCAGGTGTTTCAACACAAGAGGTCTGGTGTTCAATGCCATGAACCCTGTAGAACTCAGTCATATGAAACTCACTTCCTTGATCACTACGAATGGTTTTAACTGTTTTTCCAAATTGCTGCTTAACCAACTGACAGAATCCTTGTAACAACTCACGTGTTTCACCCTTTGTGTGCATCAAGTAAACCCAAACTGCTCTACTACAGTCATCCACAATAGTTAAAAAGTAACTGTAACCTTCATAGGACTTAACTGACAAGGGGCCCCAGATATCAACATGAATAAGAAAGAAAGGTTCACTAGCAGACATCTCATTAACAGGAAATGGAAGTTTGTGCTGTTTAGAAAGGTGACAAATCTCACAATGGGAAACAGTTTCATTGTGAGTTACATTCTGTTGATTCATGATAAGTTTGAGTCTATCTCTACTGGGGTGGCCTAGGCGCCAGTGCCATAAATGAATGTCTTGTGGCTGAAGATTGTAGGTGAAAGCAGCTTGATGTTGGAATTGGGAAGAAACTGGAGTGAGTGGTAATAAGGTGGAAAGGTCAAGAAGGTATAAGCCTCTACTTTGTCTTGCCAAACCAATGCTCTTCTGGGTCAGTTGGTCCTGGATTTCACAGACAGAAGAATGGAAGTGCAAAGACAGTGGTAAGTTTGAGGTTAACTTGCTAATGGAAATGAGGTTGAAAGTGAAACTAGGAACGAGGAGGACATTATCTAGCACTAGGCCAGAAGGAAGATGAACTGATCCTATGTGACTCACTAAGACCCTCTGGTTATTAGGCAAGTAGACAAAGGAATTGTGAACGACAGTGTAATGGGTAAAGAGGTCTAAAGAGCATGTGATGTGATCGGAGGCCCCTGTGTCAAGTATCCAAATGGTGCTCAAAACAGATTTATCCACAGCACTGTGTGAGGAGAGGACAAACTTACCAGCATGGTTAGGGAAAGCAGGCAAGTATTGAGACACAGAGTAAGCTGTAGAATTGATCCTTGGTGAGCTACCAGGTGATAAAGGGCCAGCATCCATGCCAAACTGAAGAAGACTCTTGAGTCGTGCTATCTCATCAGAGGAGAGAGCATGAGCAACCTTGGAAGGACTACTCCCATCATCAGAGATGCTGCCAGTACTTTCAGAAGAAGGTGTGACACTGTCTGTGGAAACAGAACCAGAAAAACCCTCCTTCTCTTGTTCCTTTTTCTTCAACTTCCAGCAATCTTTGATGGTGTGGTCAGTGCGTTTGCAATACCTACAGAATAACTTCCCAGAGCCTGTCTCTTGTCGCCCTTTATACTGATCCCGGCCAGCTTGGTTCCCAACAGCAAGTGCAACAGACTGACTGTTCTTGGTCTTAGCTTGATCCCCTTTTAGCTTTTGTTCATGAAGAAGCAAATCATCAACAGCAGCGGTAACAGTGGGTAAGGGTTTCATCATAAGCAACTGGGTCTTCACAATCTCATATTCCTTATTAAGACCCCTCAAGAAACGAATCAGATAATCAGTCTCTTGCTTAGTCTGGAATGCAACCACAGCAGGACAAGGATTGGGGTTGTTAGGGGCACATGGACAGGGAACAATAGGGGTGAACTGTAGATAATCTTCCCAGAAGCCTTTAATCTCAGTATAATACTGAGTGATAGTGCGATCACCCTGCTTACAAGCATGAATGTCATCTTCAAGGTTAATGATGCGCAAAGCATTAGGTTGCCCAAATCGTCTCTTCAATTCCTCCCACAGAATGCGAGCATTCTCATGATTCATCACACTTCGAGCTATCTCCTTTTTCAGGGAATTAACAATCCAACAAAGAACAACGGTGTTACAACCATCCCATAAATGAAATGTATCGCTGCCAACAGGCGGAACTGGGATAGACCCATCAATGAAACCCAGCTTATGCTTGGTTTTCAACGCCAAACGCATAGATCTACTCCACATAGAATAGTTAGTACCATCCAAAACCTCAGCAACGAGCGATTGAGACAAATTCTCATTCGGATTGAGGTAGAAAGGGTTGCCAAACTGGATCTCACCTCTGCCACTCTGAACCTGATTCTCGTTGAAGCTACCAAACTGGAATGCGCCGCCGGAGGAGCCAGCACTGCCGCCAGGAGGCGTATTGGGAGAGCCGGTAGCCATGATCGTCGAGAATCAGATCTGAGGCTCTGATACCATGTAGAAATATCTAGAGGGGCAAAGGCTTAATCGAAAACCCGCAGAAAACAACGAGCTGCAGGGTTCCTTCCATTTATACTCAGTGTTCAAGATTTACTGTTTGCCAACGGTAAAATAAACGGAATTATAAATTCACCCTGACACGTGGTGAGTAATAAAACGGGAAGGATAAAACAGACTCCACTATCTCTAAAACGACGACGCGTTCAGGCGAAGGCTCGAAACGTTTCCCATACAACGAATCGTCTTCAAGCCTGAACGCGTTTCACTGTCTTCTTCAAGCTGAAGCTCGATGTGTCCATTCCAGCTCTGCATCAGCTGCCTTGCCTTCATGGACCTCTGCTCCATCTTCCTTATCATCTTGACATCCCGAGCCGTGATTGCAGGTGTTCGTGGGCCGGCCCAATTGTGTAGGTTTTGGGGAGGCGTTGGCGGATTCGGGCCAGAATTGGGCCGTCCAAATCGTCGAACGTGTTGAGGATGAGAGGATACGCCGGTGAAGAAGATTCTCTCGTCGCCTTTACGACCCGAATCATGGTCGGGTCGTCGGTACCTGCCCGGCAGTACCCGGGTAGATCCCTGCACCGTAGGAAAGATTCCATTCCTGGCACTTTTGTAATCAGCCTCTCCATATCTTCCTCTCCTTTTCAATCACCAACACATAATAAAAACCACAGAATCAATTCATGTAAATTAACTAATAATATATATATTTTAATTCCGACATAACAAATTCGGATCTAGCTAGGGGTGTCTGTTCGGTCGATTTCAGTCACTCGAACCAAACACGATGTACCCAAAAATCAAAATTGTTATCTTTGAAAATCGAATCCGAACTAATAAGTTTTTTTTTTGGAGTTTCAAACTTAAACAAAAAATTTGATTATTGGTTTTGAGTTCGGTTAAAGCAAAACTGAAACCTAAAAAAGTGAAACCCCTAATAAGGATATGACCCTGCTGCTATGTCGTAAGGTGTTTCAACCAAACCCAAAAACCCAATAAGTAAAACTGAACCCGAAATCCAAAACAAACACGAAGACGAAAACCCGACAATGCAACTAATTAATTTGGTTTCGGTTTAAATCGGAAAACGGAACCCGGATGGACACCCTAAAATTCTAGCCGTACCTTTTATGGGGAGCTCGCCGGCCTGGATAACTTCCGGCAGCCAGAAGTTAATCCAGAAGAAACAGGGGCTGATGGTGCGGAATCGAATAATCGGGATCCCAACTTCCAACGAAACGTCGCTGATGAACCCCAAAGAGCCATCTCCGATGACGCAGGTGACCGGTGGTTGGATCTGAACCAGTAAATTTTTGAAAACTGGCCGGGTTTTTGAGTCCATTTCTCCGAGCAATTCGGAGATCTTCTCGCCCTTTGTGAGCTGGTCCATGGGAAGACCGTCGTCGAAGGTTTCGAACCGGAACCCGGGGTAGTTTTGGGACCGGGATTCGGCGTTGGAGGACTGGAGGAGGCGCTTGTGGTTGTAGTCGGAGTTGAGGAAGGTGACCCGGATGCCGCCGCCGCCGGCGAGGCAGAGGAGCTCAGCGAGTTTGAGCATGGAGGTGATGTGACCCTGAACTGGGAGTGGGAAGACGAGTACGTGTGGGATTGCAGAGGCTTGTTGATCCATTTCTGCTGCTTCTAGCTTTGAATTCAGGTGATGTAGAGTTTGTGCCGGCTAATATTTATGGTAGGTGAAGTGAAATAGATGTAAATGATTGTCGCTCTCTTCTCGATTGGTTAGATTTATGGGTCGGATACATTGATCATTTGATCGTTGTAAATTGTATTTTAGCATCTGTATATTTGTTGGTTTTTTTAATTTCATACTTATATTTCATTTTTTTTTACACAAATACACTGTAAATGTATGTTTTGTTATCTCAATTTTTGGAAGGACATTTTGATTCCACGAATCCAATTCGTTTGTCACCTCCAATTACTCTACCCGTCAAAACTCAATGCAACATTATTCTTTTTTGATAATGGTGAGTTTATTAATAACGGAGAGAACAATGCAACATCATTCTTGTTTCTTTCAAATCCAAAGCGTATTAGGTTGTTGGTTTCCTTAGTTAATGATAGTCTACATGCTTATTACACATGATTTATTTTTATTATGTTTTTTTTTATCATAGACAAATATAAATAAGAACGTAACCAGAATTACAAAGTAGTTCAAAAGCCGAATGTGGTAGTCGATCAAACAATGTTTATGAATTTGGTAATTCCTTCAACCTACATATAAACTTATTCTTTTTTTTATAAGCGTGATATAATTTTCTTTTTACCGTTAGTGCTTGTTAAAAAATTCAAACTTTCAGGTTCAACATTAATGGTTTTACCAGTAAACCAAATCATGTGTATAAACTTACTATTGAGCCATCTTCGACAATATTTTCCTAGTTCTTCTTACCTTGCTCCTTTTCACAAAAGAAACAACACAAGTTTAGTATTTCCAATTTATTTTAACTATATATACTTTAGCAACACTCAAATAACTACAAGATTTATATCTATTGACAAAAAAAAAAACCCTACAAGAGTAATTTCAAACTTTCAAGCCATATGCTTTATATACAATGAACTTATGCCGATGTTACACTTGTGTCTCACTTTATATGGTAGAAATACTAAAAGGGACAGACAGGAAAATATTACTAAGACCTTTCCTTTTATATGTAGAAATATTGAGAGTTTAATGCTAAGGCTACGATAACAAAAACTTGGTGGGTTATCTCATCATGGTGATTGCGATGATCGATATTTACACAACTCATACTTCCCATCCAAACAAAAACCAATTCATCACCAATCTTCCTCTTCATCATCATCATTCTCTTCAAGATTATCAGGAACCTCAACATCAATAGCAACTACTTTAGATGCACTGATCTTGGTAGAACCAGATCGAATCTTCGAAGTCAGTTTCTCGCCATTATTACCTTTACCCATCACCCCAAACCCTTCTTCTTCGTCCTTCTTCAAGTCACCAGGCGGAAGGAAACAGTCCATTGACAACCCCTTGATGTTGAAATCGACCTCCTCAATCTCCCAAACTTCCTCCATCCTTGTCCTTGAATGGCTTTCTGAATTCTCCCCGAACCTGAACAACGACACCTTCGTCCTCCCTGCATGAGCGATATTGATCCCATCTATCGTTCTGTAATCCTGTATTGTCGACTCCATCGTCGTCTCCCAGAACACACTGTTGTTTCCTGGTGCTTTGATTCTCAAGAGATGGGAGTCCTCTAGCTGGACTAAAAGCCCTGTTCTTTGGCTGAAGTATCCCCATACTGTGTGCCTTATGATCTCCACATTGCTGGTGCTTCTTGATAATAGCGATGAAGGGTTTGCTTCCAGCTTCAGCATGAAACAGTCCTCGCCATTGATCGCCTTTTCGCCCATGCAAGTTGAGTTGGAGAATAGGTTGGCTGTTGATTTTGGATCAAGACCCTGTTCAGAAATCGGAAATTCAGGTTAGTTGTGTGAAGACAATGAGATTTTGTTTGGACTTTGGCTTGAGATAGCTCTCTACTATGGTTGGTGGGGCTGCCCTGCATCATGGCATGGCCCATGATTAACTAAGTAACAGTGATTGAACTTCCTAATTTCTAATGCATTCAAACCATTGTGTTGACATTTCTGAACTGCAATTTTCTATTCCACAAATTTGTTGACTTTATCATGAAGAAGAAGGGAAAATAACTTAGTGGGCAAAGACTACTATACCAAACGAGAAGAAAAGGCTAACAACCTGATAAAATGTTTTGGTGGGCTAAGGTCCCACCAAAAGGGAGTGTGAGCCTACAAGTGGTGGGACAAAGTTTGATGTTTTACATGTGAACATGAAATTCATGGCTTGGTGGCTGCTAGTTGGTGGTTTCATTCCTTCTTCCAAGAAACCAATCCAAAACAACCACCATAAAGAACATATTGGAGGCTCAATTGGCTTTTTGCTAAAGAGGGTAGCAATAGCATCATCTGGTTACTACATTCAGCCAGTCAATTGGAAATTCCGCAAACACAACAGGACCATGGAAATCAGAACAGAATCTTATATCAGATGACAAGTCACAGTCCACAAACCAATCCTAACAAAGATGAGATAATAAGAACAAGCTCTCAATTGGTCCCAGTTTTGGAGATGAAGCAAGTGTTTTTAGTTACCTGAAGGAAACGCCTGAGCGGCCTAGGGGGACCTCTGGAAGCATGGGAATGATGCCATGGAGTCTGCCTCCAAGCCACTTTACCATCACTGCCTGCACTAATCTTGCAGCCTGACACCACCAGCTCCAAACACCAAAGCTCGGGCCTTTTCTGCCACAGGACGAAACCGCCCATCTCCCCACTCCCATTTTTCGAATTCTTCACCTTAACCACCTTGTTGTTCGTTGTGCCTTCCCCTGAAGAGAATTCAGAGGCAGCCATTTTCACCTTCCCCATTGCGCACATGCTCTCCACCGAATTTAGAGCCGTTTCTCCTCCCACCGCCGCCACGTACTGCTGCACAATGTATTTCGCCATTGATGACTCCTGCACACCCCACACCACGCCGTTAACACATTGATCCCCACTTAAAAAAACAACATACTCAGAGCCATTTCATCAAACACTAAGCGGACAGAAAAGAACTTACAATTGGCTGGTTCTTAAAATTCCGGGTAACCAACTGATGATCAGAGCTGATAGGGAAAGGGATTAATGGGGCGCCAGCAACACCCAACAAGAGCTGAATCTCGGTGCTCTTCTCCCCAAATACCGCCTTCTGGTCATTGTTATAACCGCCGCCGGCGACGGCGGCGTTGGGCCTCGTCATCCAGGCCTTCATACTCTGCCACGAGTAATTCTTGTTGTTCCCCGAGGAGCTGAACATTTCTTCTGGGATGGGGACCTCCAAAACCGTGTCCAGCCCATCTTCCCGATAGAGATTTGGACAGAGCTTCCTCATATGGGTTTTCCTTAGCAGAGAGCAGCCACAACTGGGAGATGAAAAAGAAAAGGAAAATGAGTTATGGTTATAGAGAGCGAGAGAGAGGGAGAGGGGTTGTTTTCTTGGTTGGGTTGGAAGAAAAGAAACGATCTTTGGGTTGTGGGAGCGAAAGATTTGGGAAGGGAAGCGCGGAAAGGGAGAGGAGAGCGGAAGGAAAACAACAGAGGGAAGAAAGAAAGAAGGGAGAGTGAGTCTTGGAAGGAAAGGGAGACTGTGTGTGAAGAAAGGAGAGAGTGGTATAATATTTCATATTTTTTATTATTGTTTTTGGGTTTGTCGGTTTTGGTACCCAAAGAATTAACATATGACCAACCGACCATTGCCCACTACCAACGTGGTGGAAGGGTAGTAGTAGTACTTTTGTCCATGTCGTGTTTGCACGCTCTCTCTTCCTCTCTTTGCTTATTGATTTCTTTAATTATAATCGGCTTAATTGTAAGTTTGGTCACTCGAATTGCTCAAAAATTTCACGTTTGTCACTCGAATTGATTTATTCCATTTATAGTCACTCGAATTAGTTGAACAGTCCAAGTTCAGTCACTCTCCGTTAACCTCCGTTAGACTCCGTTAATGACGACCGTTAAGTGATGACGTGGCTAACAGAAAGACACAGTCAGCACATTTTAACATTAAAAAAAGACGACCCGACCCGCCAGCTCAGCCTTACCCCGCCCTGTCAGCCATTTTTGCCCAACCCGCGAACCCCAATTCCCACCTCTCCTTCTCTTACGACCCATTCATCGTCAGCGCCGCCTCCGGCGACGTCTTCCTCGGCAACGGGACCCTCCCGGCGTTCTCGCTGAGCAAGAAGAACGAGACGAGCCTGAGGAACGTGGTGGTGTCCGGGTCGAACGAGGTGGACGCGGAGTCGGTGAACGGTCTCAGATCGGATCTGAAGAAGAGGAACGGAGTGGCGGCGCTCAAGATTCAGCTGGACACGAAAGTGGGTGTGAAGGTGGGCAAGCTGAAGACGAAGAAAGTTGGGATTCGGGTCACCTGTGAGGACATTAAAGGGGCGGTACCGAAAGGTAAGGCTCCTCCCTCTGTTGCTGTAACTGTTGGGTCCAAGTGTAAGGTGGATCTGAGAATCAAGATCTGGAAGGTTACTTTTTGAGTAAGCTTTCCTAGTCATGCATCCAAGTTGCCTCTGCCAAGCAAAACCCCATATTTGATTCAAGAATAGGGCGAGGACGGCAGGTGGATGGCTGATGAATGAAAGATGAGGAGGCGACGGGGACGGTGACGGGTGGATGGCCGTTGAATCGGTTGGTTCGCGGGTTGGGCAAAAAATGGTTGACAGGGCGGGTAAGGCTGAGCTGGCGGGTCGGGTCGTCTTTTTTTAATGTTAAAATGTGCTGACTGTGTCTTTTTGTTAGCCACGTCATCACTTAACAGTTGTCATTAACGGAGTCTAACGGAGGTTAACGGAGAGTGACCGAACTTGGACTGTTCAACTAATTCGAGTGACTATAAATGGAATAAATCAATTCGAGTGGCAAACATGAAATTTTTGAGCAATTCGAGTGACCAAACTTGCAATTAAGCCAATTATAATCCTAAATTTTGTTGTTTCCTCACCAAAATAAATACCAACTATGTTTCCAAGTTTACTCCTGACCATAGTGTTGATCTTCAAGCGAAGTACTCCAAGCTGATCGATTTTGTTACTCGAATGCTTTATTGGTATGATATTGTTCGTTTTGAGCAAAACTTGTACGAATTTATTTTTAAGTATCCTCTCAAAAGGACTTCTAGTAACTGAGCTAGGTGGATTCTAATATACAATGGTTCTTTCTCTCATATCTTTGATGCGGTACTTGAATCATACCATAACAGATCCAATTGTTTCACGTTTTATAGGCGATGGAGAGTCTCTTGCAAGCAAAGGACAATATAACGAGATGGTAATGGTGGTGATGATTCAAAAAGATAAAATATTCATAAACAAGTTTAATATATTCACGTTTCAACGTATAAGTAATCGAAGCTAGCAAATTAGATTTTACTCTTTTTTTCTCGTATGCCTACGAGGTGAACAACTTAGCTTACCACACAAACGGTTAGTCATCATCAACGAAATTATGGCAAATTATAACAAAGGAGCCAAATATAGCAATATCCATATATGAAAACAACTAAAAGAGAAAGGATTCGATGAATTAATAGTTCATATTATGGGTCTCATTTGTAAACTTCACTTGACAAAATGGCCTAAAATGGGTTGTAAGTTGTAACCCATTTTACTTTAGAAAGACTTTATTTTGATTCAACCCTTTCACCAACCTAAGCTTTGAAAAAACAAAAATACTTGATGGAAGAAAATTTGGGGTCTAATAAGTTGTTGCACAATTGTCGCTATGATGGATGGACAAACGGAAATGACCAATTTTAATTGGCCATATTTTTCTATCATTTCATTTTCCTATATATTTATACCCTCCAGTTGTTCATTTCTTCATTAATTACTTCCTCGTGCATGTATATTGCAAATATAATTTCCGGCGATATTGGATCCCCTGGCTGGCTGGCTGTGCTAGCTATGATCTGTTATTGTTACTTTAACAGAAGGAAATCCTCAGTTGAATCATTGTTTGGATCCTAATACCAGATTCTCCCTTTATATTCTACCCAAATGGGATCTAATCGGATTCTTCTGCCAAAACGAGCAAAAACAAATCTCTGATTATTCCACAACTTGCTTGAAGAGGACCAATCTGGTTGGTTATGCTTATACATGTTTACCTCAACTTGTGTGTGCATCAATGGGCCATTGATGAACACGAATGTTTTGCAAACTGACAAATTGTTTATTGATAGCAATGAGATGCTTAAATAGCTAGGGTTGAGCCACAAGATCCGGCCTCAAACCCTCCATGACTAACAGCTTACCTACTAATCAGCTGCTAACTCCTAACAAGTTACAACGGTCAAATTGACCACAAGACAGGACTCAAAGAACAACAAAAAAACAATAAGTATCAAAAGAACAGTTTGCCAAAACGCAGTGTTTGACTTTATTCGACTGACTCAAGAGGAAACGGCGCCGCACCAAACTTAACCAGCCGAGACCTTTAATCCAGCTCCAAACGACGTCGCCGCGACTAACTTTCTCTGTGGCCTTAAGCAGTCCGAATCCGAGAAGGACAAGGACTCCAGTCTTCAGTTCACAATCCAACACATCCTCCCCTGAACTGAAGCTGGTTTGCTGAACTTCTGATCACTCCTTCAACTCCAGGTCTTCCACACTACATACACCAAGTTTACTTCTCAAGGCTTGAAATGTTTCGAGCTTAAGAGGCTTGGTCATTAAATCTGCAATCTGCTCATGAGTTCTGCAGTGTTCAAGTTCCATAACACCTTCCCTTACCAGATCCCTTAGGAAATGAAACCTGACATCTATATGCTTGCTCCTCCCATGTAGCACAGGGTTTTTAGCCAGCTTGATGGTGGAGCTATTGTCACAAAAAATGGTTGTTTCAGCCTGCACACTTCTGCTCCAATCCATTTCAGTCAGAATGTTCCTGAGCCAGATGCATTGTGTGGCACAGGAACATGCTGCAACAAACTCAGCCTCGGTTGTTGAGAGAGTCACAACTGGTTGCTTCTTGGAAGCCCATGATACTGCTGCTCCTGCAAGAAAGAAAACATAGCCAGAAGTGCTTTTTCTGTCATCAAAGTCTCCAGCATAATCCGAGTCTGTATAACCTATCAGCCTTTGATCCTCCTCCCCTTTGCTTCTCCTGTACCAGATCCCATGATTCATAGTCCCTTTTAGATACCTAAGTATCCTTTTTGCTGCCAAAAGATGCTGCCTGGTAGGTGAGTCCATGTACCTGCTCAACAGACACACAGAGAACATGATGTCTGGTCTTGTTGCTGTAACATACAGCAAACTCCCTATCAACCTCTTGTATTCAGTAGGATTGACAGCAACTCCATCTCCAGCTCTGGTTAACTTCAGCCCAGGTGCAAGAGGATTGTGAGTGTGGTTGCATTCCAACAGCTTGAATTTCTCCAGAAGCTCCTTTATGTACTTTGATTGACAGATAAAAATTCCATCTTCCTTCTGAATCACTTCCACACCTAGAAAATATCTCATTCTGCCTAGATCTGTCATCTCAAACTCAGCTTGCATAGATGATTTAAACTCTTCAATCATTACTGGATTGTTACTAGCATACATTAAATCATCCACATAAAGACTGAGAATGAGAATATCAGAACCAGACCTCTTAATGAACAATGTGTGTTCATAATTGCACTTCTTGAAACCAGTCTGCTCGAGATAGGCTTCAATTCTGCTGTACCATGCTCTTGGTGCCTGCTTGAGGCCATACAAGGCTTTGTGCAGCCTGTATACTTTCTTTTCCTCCCCAGCAACCTCAAACCCTTGAGGTTGCTCAACATAGATTTCTTCTGTAAGCTCCCCATGCAGGAAAGCACTCTTCACATCCAGCTGATGCACTGTTAAACCATAGTGTGCTGCCAGGGCCAGAAGAGTTCTTATGGTGTCCCACCTGGCCACTGGGGCAAATACTTCAGTATAGTCAATTCCTTCCTTCTGTGCATACCCCTTCACCACCAATCGAGCTTTGAACTTGTCTAAGGTTCCATCTTCCTTGAGTTTTGTCCTGTAAACCCATTTGAGGCCTATGGCTTGACTTCCTGCTGGCAGATCATTGAGTTCCCAGGTAAGATTCTTCTTTATGGATTCCATCTCAGCCTTCATTGCCTCCTTCCATCTAGGATCCTTGCAGGCTTCCTCATACGACTGTGGATCACCAGCCATAGCCACAAAGGCTATCCAATCTTCTCCTGCAGTACTACAATCTGGTACAGTAAAGTGTGTCTGCCAGTCATAGCTGGCAAGCTTGGCTGGTGGCTTCCTGGTTCTTTTGGTGCTGGGCAGTCCCAACACATCAGTTTCAGCATCCTGATCCTCCTCCTCTATCTCCTTGTCACTCATTGTTGGTTCTGGTGTTTTTGGGCTACCAGGTTGTTGAGTCCCAGTTGCACCAGATTCAGAATCTGAGTCTGCTGCTGCATCCACTTCCTCTTCTGTATCAGAATCTTCCCAGTCTTCATCACTTCCTTCCCAAGCCAACTTGATTTGCTCTGGTGGTGAGTCTGAATTCCAACTCCAGCCCTTTGCTTCATCAAACACCACATCTCTACTCACCACAACAGTATTAGTTCTAGGATTGTATAACTTGTAAGCTTTAGACTCAACTGAAATTCCCAGGAACTGACACTTCTCACTTTTATCATCAAGTTTCCTTCTGTGTTGGTCTGGTATGTGTGCATAAGCAACACAACCAAAGATCTTAAAATGAGCAACAGAAGGAGGGTTACCAGTCCAGAGTTCTTGAGGTGTTTTTCCTTGATTTGCTGTAGTTGGACTCCTATTCAGCACATGACAAGTCCAGGCCACTGCTTCAGCCCAGAACTCTGATGGAACACTCATATCCTTCAGCATACATCGAACCATATTCATCAAAGTCCTGTTTCTTCTCTCTGCTACACCATTCTGCTGAGGTGTGAAGGCAGCAGTGAGTTGTCTTCTTATTCCAGCTTCTTCACAGAGTTGCTTGAGTTCATTTAGCACAAACTCACCACCCCTATCAGTTCTCAAACACTTGATCTCCAAATCCTTCTCCTTCTCAACTTGCAGTTTGTATTTTTTGAAACATTCCAAGGTGTCTGACTTGGCTGCCATGAAGAAAACCCACATTTTTCTGCTATAATCATCAATTAGTGTGAGTATATACCTCTTTCCTCCGTTTGATACAGGAGTGATAGGACCACATAGGTCTGCATGAATCAGTTGCAGTGCTTCAGTTGCTCTCCACTGACTTTTCTTGGGAAAGGGCCTTCGATGTTGCTTGCCAAGCATGCAAGTTTCACAGATTCCAATTCCTCCCCTCAGCTTTGGCAGATCCATCACCAGTTTCTTTGCCTGCAGAAGCTGCAAATTTGCTACTCCCAGATGTCCAAACCTGCGATGCCATAGAGTAAGTATGGGATCTATAACATCATCAGTTTTTAGACACTGAGCAAGCTGATTTGCAGGATTGTACTCAACATGCAGAACAAACATCCTGTTTGTTTTCATTTCAGTTTGTAACAGCAAACCCTTCTCTTCATGATAGATCTTGCAGCTGCCCTCTTTAATTACAAACATCAGCCCTTTCTCCTGCCATTGACCAATGCTTATCAGATTTGTTTTGAGACCAGGTACATAGAAGACTTCCTGAATGGTGATGCTTCTTTGATTTACTTGCAACTTCACTGCTCCTTTTCCAGCAACCTCAAGTTTTGAATTGTTTCCCAGACGTACCTTGCAAGCAAAGTTTGTATCTATGCTGGTAAACCATTTCTTGTCACCACTCATGTGGTTACTGCAGCCAGAATCCAAAAATCACCAGTCATCACTTGACTTCTCTTTGCCAGAATCCAGAAGAGCCATTAGCCCCTCCTGTGTTTCTTCTTTCCATTCACTTCCTTCTTCAGGCTCCACACAGGCCATTAATAACATATCTTCCTTCATATCCCCAAGACTCTTATCCTGCATACTTCCAGAGGCAACATAATGAGCCTGCTGGTTAGAGTACCACTCAGGGCACTCATACTTGTAATGCCCCAGCTTGTGGCACTTGTAACACTCAACAGACTCCTTGCTCCACCCTCTGCCTCCTCGACCTCTTCCTCTTCCCTGGTAAAAGCCTCTTCCCTGACCTCTACCACCTCTTCCAAAACCATACTCATGAGAGACCCTTAAGGCCTGCTCCTCTTCACCAGCTGACTTCCTTCTATTAAACTTTTGCTCATGGACCAAAAGAGAACTCTGTAGTGCATCTACTGTTAAGAGTTCTATATCTTTGGATTCTTCTATAGAACAGACTACATAATTGAATTTGTCAGTCAATGTTCTAAGAATTTTCTCAACTACTTTTCCATCAGACATGTCCTCCCCACAGTTTCTCATAGTATTAGCTATAATCATGACTCTAGCAAAATACTCAGACACAGACTCATCTTCTTTCATCTCAAGCAGTTCAAAGTTCCTTCTGAGTACCTGTAACTGAGCCTTTTGAACCCTTTCACTGCCTTGAAACTTCTCCTTCATAGATTCCCACAGTTCTCTTGCAGTGCCTTTCTTTGCAATAGTTTTCAGCAGTGTTCTGTCAATGCTGCTGAACAGATAGTTTTTGGCCTTGAGATCTTTCAACCTTAGCTCCTCCAGACTCCTCATTTGAGCTGGTGTCAACTCTTCTCCAGCCTCAGGCTCTCTGAAGCCAGGGCTGATCACAGTCCAGTACTCTTTGGACCTCAGCAAATTCTCCATAACCAGTGTCCAGTGTTCATAATCCCCATCAAATTTTGGGATACAAACCTGAGCACTACTGCCATTATCACCCATGTTGATTTTCACTCACCCTGATCTGTTTGTCCTCACAAGCAACTCTCGTGTTTCCCTACCCCAGATCACAGAACTCTTTCACTCAATAGCTTTCTTTCACTCACAGAAATTTTCACTCAATAACCTATCTTCTCTTGGTTACAGTCTGCTATAGGTGCTCTGATACCACAATGATGAACACGAATGTTTTGCAAACTGACAAATTGTTTATTGATAGCAATGAGATGCTTAAATAGCTAGGGTTGAGCCACAAGATCCGGCCTCAAACCCTCCATGACTAACAGCTTACCTACTAATCAGCTGCTAACTCCTAACAAATTACAACGGTCAAATTGACCACAAGACAGGACTCAAAGAACAACAAAAAAACAATAAGTATCAAAAGAACAGTTTGCCAAAACGCAGTGTTTGACTTTATTCGACTGACTCAAGAGGAAACGGCGCCGCACCAAACTTAACCAGCCGAGACCTTTAATCCAGCTCCAAACGACGTCGCCGCGACTAACTTTCTCTGTGGCCTTAAGCAGTCCGAATCCGAGAAGGACAAGGACTCCAGTCTTCAGTTCACAATCCAACAGCCATTGGTATAGCAATACGCCTAGAATATTGATTGTGAAATTGTACGAGAAAAATTTAGTGGTAAGGTATTTTTGTATTAAAATCATGGTTCAATCGTTTCGTAACGCTCAAATTGCCTATTATTTGGAAGAAGGAAGCAATCAAATGAGGTAAGTTTTTTTGTTCCATAAATTACAATGGAACAATTTTGACCATCAGTTTAAAAAACAAAGGGGGAAAATAAAACTCACCATATCGAGGTAGGTTGTCAGCGTGACAATCCCTTAAACAGTTAAACCCTTAAAGAGATTGTCAACGTAACCTATTCGGTAAAATAGTATAAGGGGTCGTTTGGAAGTTGCGATTGTTAAATAAATGTATTGTTGAGAATGCATGTATAATATTATACATATATTGTCGAATTTGATGCATTGTAGCATACAACGTTTGGTATGTGTGATTGTGTATGTCGCATTAGCTAAAAGCTGAGACAAAACAATCTCAACTCAACTATCTCAACAATCACAACTAAAAGTTGAGATATAACAATCACTCAAAATGAGTGATAGTTTCTGTTACATCACAGAAACAATCCATGTATTGTTTCTGCTAAAAAAAATAAAAAAACGATGCATTGTAAACAATACATGCATAATGACAATCTCAACAAAACAATCGCAACTTCCAAACGACCCCTAAATCTTTTTTGAAATGCATTCGTAGTTAAGTTTCCAAAGCTGGAACCTTCACTCCTGAAAAATAATTAGTTGTGGAAGATAAACCGTCTCCAACGGTAAAGGTCGGCGGCCCATCGTTAACAGTACACAGGGCCAGGGGGGAATCCCGAAGCCGGAGCAGCACGCGGCCGACATTGTTATTTTCCTTAAACTTACAAGCCAATTAATTCTCATATGATCCTCTGCAAAACTAATTAATTATTTTCTGAGAGATGTCTAATGGAGTATCCAAGGGATTGATTAGTGCTTGTTAGTTCCTAGCTCTCCTTGGAGGCAAATTGAAGACAACACCAATTTAAAAAATACATAATGATAACACTAATGACTATCATTATACAAATTAACAACAATCATCAATATACAATTCCGTTAATTAATAATTAATTAGCAATATTTATGTGATGCACGTTGTGATCATTAATATAAAGCCTTGTATATCTTGAATCACACATTTGTAGCGAGGGAAGCATTGATCTTTCAAATAATTCCTCCATGTTATATGTACATAATAATTAGAAAAGCCCTAATTATCGCAATTTTGTGGGGAATGTTTTTGTGGGTTCCTTTGATCTGAAATTTAAATAGTGTATAATAGCTTAGAATCGTGGTCTTTGTGGTGGCTTTGTTTGGAAGTGAAATGGGGAACATGCATGGGTTGGGAGGAAGAATATAACCGTATTATTTTGTGGACCCAAAATTATATTGTAGGGTAAGATTAAAGAAATTAGGGTTTTGAGTGCATGAACTGTACAAATACATGGAACAAAAATAGATAGATAGAATCGGATACGGCCATCAATTCATTAGGATTTAGGAGGGATGGGTTCTATGTTTCTTATTGTTAAATTGTTCCCCATAATTGAGCAAATCTTGTAGTCGTCTGTCCCCTCAATGTCTTCTTTCTCTTTGATCTGTCCCTCCTTCCTTCCTTGCTGGCTAAAAAGAGAGCCACAAATAATCAAGTTAGGTGAATAATCAATGCCAACTTTAACATAAAAAAAAAGAACTTAAGCACATTTTTGTGTAATTGTTTTCCGGCGAGAAAACTTGCGTTGAAACGAATTGAATGCACCTTGATTTCTTTGGACAACGATCACTAAACACGGTTCACACATCTTCAAACACAGTTCGAACGAGGGTGTTCGATGTTTACATGACTCTCGAGACAGATCTACATTGAGTTACTCCTGCTCCTATGGAGGTTCCTCAAGAGAGCTCCGCGACTACGACTAAATTTGCAAAGAAAAAGATAAAGGGGTAAAAATGATAAAAGTTGACATTGTGTTATCTGGTGTCAATTTGGCGACTCCCTCCTCTGTCAACTCCTCCTCCTATTTATAGGCTTGAGATGATAACCGTCATAGGAAGCTGTCTTAGAGTAACTTCCAAAAGGAACTGCTCCCCTTCTTTCTTGGACGTGGCTGACGTGTCATTGTACGTGGGAAAATCGGCAGTTGCTCTGTTAACCGCCTGCTCTTCATCTTGGAACTTTCGTCTTGTTACTTGCCTCTCCCACATGGCCTGCCTTCTTACTTCCAACTTGTTAGTTCAGAATCTTGGACATGGTCTAATCTCATGATGTGGTCTAGATCTCACGACCTTGTCGGGCTCTAGATTTGATGCCAACGCGGTCTAGATCTCACGACCACGTCGGGCTCTAAGTTTGATGCCAACACGGTCTAGATCTCGCGACCACGTCGGTCTCTGATTTTGATGCCATCGCGCTCTAGATTTCGCTACCCCGTCGAGCTCTAATTTTGATGCCAACGCGGTCTAGATCTCGCGACCACGTCGGGAGCTAATTTTGATGCCAACGCATTCTAGATCTCGCGGCCAAGTCGGGCTCTAATTTTGATGCCAACACGGTCTAGATCTCCCGACCACGTCGGGCTCTAAATTTGATGCCAACGTGATCTAGATCTCGTGACCACGTCGGGCTCTTCAACTCGCGACGAGACTAGCTCCTTTTTGGAGACTAGCTCCTTTTTGGGGCTTAAAACTATTATCATGAGGCCCAGTTCAAATAACATTAATTGTCATTAATGATCTGGTCTTATAAAGACAGTTAATGCCTTCTAAATAATCAATGTGGTACAAAATTATTTTTTGGGTGTAAACAGTAATATAAACCGATCACCATAAAAACAATTCAGTAATACTTAACACGTTTGAACATTCGAACTCCAATAATCGTTAAGATCATAACCTATAGGTTTTGATATGTGGTACCAATAACAATTAATGTATGTAGATCGATGCAAAGTATGAAGAACTCAATGGTTGCAATCTGACGATTTTATTGCTTAAAAAAGAAAGGAATACATATACTTGACTCTCAGCCTGAGAATTCGACTCCCCACTAACCACATCTCCCTGAGAATCAGCTAACAACCCACTAAGCAGATTAACTAAGTCAACTAATTACTATGCAACCTTAAACGACATACCAGGACTCACATGACACAATTTACAGACTCAAGGACGTAAAACACAAATAACCAAACGACACAGTTTGAACTTTATTCAAACTAAGAACAATTTTGGCACCAAAGCCTTCTTCAACAGCAGCTTCCAAGTTGATCCTCCAGTTCAATCTTGAACATCCTCTCCTGAACTTGAGCATCTCCTTGACCTTCAAACATGATCACTTAACTTCCATGAACACATCAGCATCATAGAATCCCATCCTTTCACGCAGCAGCTGAAAGGATTCAGTTTTTAATCCTTTGGTCATCACATCAGTAACTTGATCATAGGTTCCCACATGCTCCGATTCCACAATTGCCTCATTTGTCAGATTCCTCAAGAAATGGAACCTTACATCAATATGCTTTCTCCTTCCATGTAACACTGGGTTCTTTGAAAGCTTAATTGTAGAACTATTGTCACAATAGATCTTGGTTCCTTCATTCACACTGTTGATCCAACCCATCTGCTCCAGGATTCTTCTTAGCCAAACGCATTGAGTGGCACAATAAGATGCAACAACAAATTCAGCTTCAGTAGTGGATAGAGTGACCACAGGTTGCTTCTTCGAGGCCCAGGAAATTGCTGCACCAGCAAGGAAGATTACATAGCCACTGGTGCTCTTCCTATCATCTACATCACCTCCATAATCACTATCAGTAAACCCTATTAGATAATCCTCCCCAACATCTCTTTTGTACTGGATTCCATGGTTTGTTTTGCCCTTCAAGTATCGCAACACTCTTTTTGCGGCCAAGTTGGAGATTCCATGTACCTACTGAGCATACAAACAACATACATGATATCAGGATGAGTTGCTGTGATATACAGTAAGCTGCCATTCAGCTGCTTATACTCAGTAGCATTGATCATAACTCCATCCCCTGCCTTGCCTAACATTAGACCTGGAGCCATTGGATTTAGAGATGGCAAAAATATCCGTAACCGTGAATATCCGTCTGAATCCGACCTACTCGGGTAGGGTAAAACTCAAACTCGAATGACTTTTACTGGGTATGGGTAAAACCCGAACCCGAATATTGCGGGTAATGAGTGGGCATGGTTTTCTCACTATCCAACCCAAACCCGCCCGATTATACACATACACATGCATATGTATTTTGTCTAGATATAATCATTATTTTTCTCAAACATATTTTGTATTAAGCATAAAAATATACTATCTTCATGAAATTGTGCATGGTTTTGATTTTCTACCCGTTTCTTATGTGGGTATGGGTAATACCCGAACTACTATGGGTAGGGTAACAAATATGCACTATCCGCCCCCGAACCGACTCATTGCCATCCCTAACCGAACCCGAATATTGCGGGTAATGGGTGGACATGGTTTTCTCACTATCCAACCCAAACCCGCCCGATTATACACATGCATATGTATTTTGTCTAGATATAATCATTATTTTTCTCTAACATATTTTGTATTAAGCATAAAAATATACTATTTCATGATATTGTGTTGTTTTATTAATTTTTTTTCATTCTAATGAATTATTGTCGTACTTTTCCTCTTATGTAATGTGAGAATTCGTGTGAATATTAACATACTAGGTGAATTTATAAACAGAAATTATTACCCATGGATAACCGTGGATACCCAAACCCGAACGGGTATGTGCATGGTTTTGATTTTCTACATGTTTCTTATGTGGGTATGGGTAATACCCGAACTACTATGGGTAGGGTAACGAATATGCACTATCCGCCCCCGAACCAACCCATTGCCATCCCTAACTGGATTTAGCACATAGTTACAATCAGAGAATTGGAAACGATGCAAAACCTCTTTGATG